CTATTATAAATATGAACAGGGAAGTAATAATTAAAGAAGTCAATAAAATGAATTTTTGAATATCGCTGATATATGTTGAGGTAATAGGTACTAATTGACCGTTGTGCTACAGCTATTGAGTACACTAACTCACAACGCTAAATTGGTGCATTAACACTCCTTCCTACATTTTATCTTTAAATCCAACAAGCTTCAGTGAATTGGAAATGGAACTCTGACTCTATACTGTTACAAATATAGCATAGTTAGATGCACAGTAAAGGACCCACTATTCTGTCCAAACTATTTGCTTCATCTTCAGCCTCAAAAGAAGATCTTCCATAAAGCTGTATTTCTGAAGCACAAACAAAAACAGAAATTGCCGGAAAAGCTCAGCATCTGTGGAGAGAAATCAGACTGAATGTTTGGGGTTCAGTGACCCACCTACTTGCTTCTGTCATTGGTCACCAAACAGGCCCATCCTAACAGTTCTCTGTATTCCCATTAGCAAGTGAACAGATTGCCTGGTTGGATGAAACTTTGTTATTGTTCAAACAGCCTGTTTTCCCCCACATACAATATTTTTAGAACCAATAAACCAAAGTCTCTAAGAAAATGTTTTTTAAAAAGCCATAATTTTTCAACCCTTCTAAGATCTTTCTCCCAGATTCACTTTTTAACTCCTGGACACTGCAGGACAATTCTGGATGGTTGGCAGACTTATGAACTCATAACTCATAATCAATCCTGTTTTACCCCTTTCAAATCCTGAAATGGTCATTTAACTCTTATCGGTCATCTTCTGCCCTGAAACAAGGCTGGCTATCCTTCTGACCCTGATACCTCAGCAGACAAACAGCTCCTTAAGCAAAGGAAAGACCAGCACTTATATAGCCCCATCAACAACCTCAGGATGTTTCACAGCAGTTTACAGTCAAAGAAGTCATGTCTGATATTTAATCGCTGTTGTAATATAGGTGGCAATCAATTTGTACACAGCAAGATTCCACGGATAACATTGTGATAATGAGCAGATAATCTGTTTTTATAATATTATTTGAGGCATTAATAGCTAGGACACTGGGGAGAACCCTTTGAATTATGCTGTGAGATCTATTACATCCACCCCAACAAACAGACAAGACTTCTCAGCTGAAATAATTGCTTACTTGTACAGAACTTGAATATCTTTGCCGAAAAAGGAGACGTGCTATTGAAGCTTTTCATCTTGCACTTTTCAGGACTTGATGCAAGAATGTCAAACTTGTTACTCCCGCGATCTTGATGAATGCAAAATGGAAAGTGTCTTTTCAGCATGTCATTTCTTTTTAGTAACACTCAGGAAGAAATATGGCACCTCTAACCTTGCAGCATTCCTTCAGTACTATACTGGAGTGTCAGATCTGTGAACGAATGTTCAGCTGGATCCTTAACCCCTTCACTGGTGGCTCAATATATCTGTCAAGATTTTCAAAGCTTTCTGAGTGACTCAGCAGGGTCAGGCAGCCGGGACTTGCAAAGATAATGGAGTTTTTGGTGTTTGTACAGTTGCAGTTTGGGTTTAACATTCCTTCAGAAAGCTACCAGCTCCTGGCTTGATGACTTATAAAATAGTCATGACCTACATCTGAGTCAACTTGGCCCGATTGGATTACAATATTGTTCAAATGGAAAGATCTAACAGCTTAGGGTGGGACAATGGACGCTGTTGAACAATGAATGTCGGGTAAGTATTTCTGACTAATATTGTGTGCAGGGCAGATTCTAATCAGTGTAGTTGCATGTTTGGAGGTTGGTACATTTGAGTGTAACTGAAATATGGCAGTCAGGACAGGTCTGCATTATTTTTGGCATCTTGGTTTGCCGAGGCTAAAGTATCATCTTTAAGATGCAGTTTACTTTGCTTTACTGTGTACAAATGTAATTTTAAAGCCATTTTTCCTGCAATTTCTATTTGCTTATATGTTACTTAGATCCTCTTTGTGTCAAAATCCTGGCCGATTGACCCGTCACTCCCACCCTCTCCCTACCCTTCCCCTGGCATTATCTTTCATAGAGCTGCAAAATTCCTTAACTCTCTCACTGCATCCCTTTCCAGCTGCAAGCTCTTTGGCATTACCTTTTGCTTTTTCAGCTCACTTCTTTTGAATGGATATCAAATGCTGGCGTTATGAGCAATGCCAAGACTTGTGACAAAATGAAATGAAAGAACTTTGATGAAATTTTCCATTGTGGAGCTTTACATGGGTTTCCAAGAAGAAACTTAATGTTTTGTTAGAATTAAATTGGCTTTGATATTAATATTCTCTTGATTATGATGAAAGAGGGGCAAGGAGGAAATTGGAGGGGAAAGGTGATAAAAGGCTTGTCTTTGAGCTTCATACTCTTAAAGTGTGATCAGGAGCCAGATTTGAAATTCACTATCTTTCTAGCAGGTTGACAGTGGATGAAAGGTGGGAGCTGATGGCTCAGTAGTAATTTTTCAGAGATAGTAGGAACTGCAGATGCTGGAGAATCCGAGACAACAAGGTGCAGGGCTGGATGAACACAGCAGGCCAAGCAGCATCATAGGAGCAGAGAGGCTGACGTACTGCTTGTGGGCCAGGAAGGACAGCAGCACTCGCTCCAGACTCCTGCAAGAAGCTGTCAGCCTCTCTTTCATTGATTGCTGACCTTCCTCTGGTTTCACTTCCTATGAAGCCTTATGCTGATGCATGTCCTAGAGTCATACAGCATGGAAACAAACCCTTCGGTCCAACCAGTCCATACTAACCATAATCCCAAACTATAATCCCTATCTGCCTGCTCCTGGCCCATATCCTTCCAAATGTTTCCTATTCATGTACTTATCTAAGTGATGTATTATTTATTTTTGAAATACTGTGATACATCCTATGTAGGCATATTTGGCAGTCATTTTGTATGAACAAATAATTGCAATGAGGAATTGGGCCGTTAAAAAAAACATTTGTTGAAGGAGGCCAGAAACTACTTGTCATTCTTTGACTAATGAACTTGCAAACTTTCCCACCAAGTTTAACAGACAGAGATGAGCTAGAATTGTCTAAACTGAAGGACAGCACCCATATAAGACAGCACTCATTCTGGCACAGCCATAAGTCTGTACCCGTGACAGCAGGAGTGATAACAAAAATCTAACACTGAGCCACATAAGGAGATATGAAGACAGGTATCTTAAAACTGGGTCTAAGGGGTTATTTTTGAGGAGTGTCTGTGAGGAAGGAGGTGGTAATTTTAATGTTTAGAGCCCAAACAGCTGATGGCTCGGCCACCAATGGAGGAAAAAGGAAATTGAGGATGTGCAGGAATTCAGAACTGGAGGACTGCTGAAATCATGGAAGGCTGTTTGGTTGAAGGGGTCAACAAAGATATTGAGGGGTGACTGAAGGAAGGGACTTGAAAACTAAAGGAGAAAGGCTGATGTAGTAATAATATTACTGAGCTGTACAGCATGGAAACAGACCCTTCGGCCCAAATCATCCATGCTAACCAGGTATCCTAAATTAATCTAGTCCCATTTGCCAGCTTTTGGCCCATATCCCTTTAAACCCTTCCTATTCTAAACCCATCCACAAGCCTTTTATATGTTGTAATTGTACAGCCTCCACAACTTTCTCAGGCAGCTCATTCCATTTATGTACCACCCTCTGTGTGTAAATGTTGTCCCTTAGGTCCCTTTTAAATCTTTCCCCTCCTACCTTAAACCCATGCCATCTTGTTCTGGACTCCCACGACCCAGGGAAAAGACCTTAGCTATTCATCCTATCCATGCCCCACATGATTTTATAAACTTCTACAAGGTCAGCCTCTGATACTCCGGGGAAAAAAGCCCCAGCCTATTCAGCCTCTCCCTGTAGCTCAAACCCTCCAACCCTGGTGGCATCCTTGTAAATCTTTTTTGAACCCTTTCAAGTTTCACACATCCTTCCTATAGCAGGGAGACCAGAATTGAACGCAGTATTCCAAAAGTGGCCTATCCAATGTCCTGTACAGCTGCAACATGATCTCCCAACTCCTACACTCAATGTGCTGACCAATACAGACAAGCATACCAAATGCCTTCTTCACTATCCTATCTACCTGTGACTCCACTTTCAAGCAACTATGAACCTGCACTCCAAGGTCTCTTTGTTCAGTAATGCTCCCCAGGACCTTACCATTAAGTGTGTAAGTCCTGCCCTGATTTGCCTTTCCAAAATGCAGCACCTCACATTTATCTAAATTAAACTCCATCTGCCACTCCTCAGCTCATTGGCCCATCTGATTAAGGTCCTGTTGAACTCTGAGGCAACCTTCTTCACTGTCCAGTGCACCACGAATTTTGGTATCATTTACAAACTTACTAACCATACTTCCTATGTTCACATCCAAATCATTTATACAAATGACAAAAGGCAGTGGACCCAGCATGGATCCTAGTGGCCCAGAGGCCCAAGTTACAGTAATGGTTTGGAGGCATGGTTTCAAGTCCCCACTGCTATAAACCTAGTACTAGGAAAGGTGCCATGACTCTGTGATTGTTTGATGTAAAAATTTGCTAATGTCCTTTAGAGATGATAATCTGCCACCCTTATCCAGCCTGGCTTACATGTGACTTCAGGCCCACAGCAATGTAGTTGATTCTTAAATGCTGTCTGAAATGGCTGAACCAAACCACGCAGTTAAAGGCCAACTAAGAATAGACAACAAATACTGGCCTTGCCAATGACATCCTTGACCCATGAAAGAATTAATGAAACAAGGCTGAGCACTTTTAACTTTAAATAAGTCAGCGCAAATGTGATAGGGGAATGGAACTCATTGTGAGTTTGGATGTGGGTAACAAAATGCGGCTTAGCTGTTTGAGGAGGGTGCAAGATCGAAAACCAGCCAGAAGATGAAATTATCTATCTGACTCCCGTTGGGTGAGTTGGGGGATGTGCTACATAGATTTACTGTTTGAAGTGAAGAAGAGCAGACATCTGAAACTGATTTTTCTGTCTAATTCTGTTTATCTGCAGTTTAGCAGTCAAAACCTGCATCTGTGTGCCAGTGCAGTTAGCCAAGAAGATCTACAGATTATTACCCCAGACTGCAACCTGTATCGTTGCTCCAGCCCTGAGGAGGTGATTGCCAGGTACGGAATAAGGTGGCCCAATGTAAAGGGCAAATCTCCCAAGACTGGCCACAAGTTATGTATTATTTTCATTGGTAATCCGTTTTGGAGTAATTCAGAGAGATACCGCTTGTGGCCATTGGTCTGAGACATTGTAACAAAAATGTTATAATTGCCATTGAAAAATAATGGTCAGGAAGCTGATCACCTTATAGCAAATATAAGCACCTGCCCAGCTGAGTTCCCCCTCTCTGTCAGTGGCTTAGGATGAGTCAGAGGCTTCTTTCTTCATTGTTTCTACTTGTGGCTGATATGCCTTCCTGTGGAAGGCCCCATAGATGGGGTGAAGATGTGGGGAGAAGGGGGTTGGCAGTGGGTTGATTGGGGTGTTGGTGATGGGGTGGGGGCTCTCCAGTACAGGCTGCTGTGCCTGTCATTGCAATTTTCCAAAATTCTCTAACTACTACAGCAGTTTCAGCAGATTGGAAGCCTTTTCAAGAGGGGAGAGAGAGAAAACAGGGAACCACGGTTAGCCTGACATTACTCTTCAGGAAAATGCTCTAATCGATTTTTCTGATTGTCTTAACAAGACACTTAACAAACCATTGTAGGATTAGACAAAGTCAATGGTTTTACTAGTGAGAGATTTGTTTTGGAAGTTGTAACTAGTTGTAATTAAGGTAGATAAAGGGAGAGCCAGTAAATGTAGTATCCTTGAATTACTAAAAAGTATTTGATTCGGCATCATGCGAAAGGTCAATGCACAAGATAAGGGCTTGTGGAATTAGGGGTAATATGTTAATGTGGAGGGCAGTTTTTATTTTAATTTGAATTGAAACAAATGAACACTGATCTGCAGTTCTTCTTCACCCACTGCCTGTGTCCTGCTCATCACCTTCATCAGCACGATTATGATGTCACTGTGGGCTCATTGCCACTTGCAGCATCAGTCTGAGCATCATCTGCTGTAAGGCACCCCAGCACCTAGACTGGAACATAGAATGCTACGATTGTGAGACTGTTTCCAGCAGAGGATTATTGGGGCTGTGATCGCCACTCAGAGCTCAGTCAATGATAGCAACTAAGATCAGTGCTGGTCATCCTTCAGGGCAACTCAAAGGTACTTTCTGGCTTTACATATCCACTCTTCAAGGAGGAATATTGACCAAGGTGTGGAGGACGTTTGTCAGAATGGCATCAGGGCTGCGGGATTCTTGTGATCTGGAGACATTGGAGAATTTCGGATCGTTCTCCTTTTCGTGGTGTTCAAATTTGTGGTGGATTTTGACAGGGTAGAAATGGAGAAACTGTTTACACTGGGGTTGATAAACAGAGAACAAAGATTGAAGAGAATATGCAAAAGAACCAGGAGTGAAATGAGGTGATTATTTTCACTCAGTGTGTTGTTGTGATCTGAAAGGGTAGTGCAAGCAGTTTCAATAATAACCTTCAAAAGCTGAATAAATACTTGAAGGGCAGAAATTTGCAGGGCAATCAGGGAAATGGCAGGGGAGTAAGACTAACTGAATAGTTCTTTCAAACTTAACTACTCTTGAAATGATGCTCTCTGTATCAATTTCCAAGTCATTATATCAATAAAAGCGATGATATGGTGTCAGTGTCAAACACTTGCCTGACAGGTACATAACAGCGTAGAAATAGATTAAATCTCCCTCTACACGTGTTCTATTAAACATTCTCAGGGTAGGTAAGCAATGGTTAGAGACAAAGTAAAAAGCCCTCTCTTTGCTCTATGGACAGACCAAACAGAGTGAAATTGTTCCCATTGATGGAAGGGGGAGAAACAGAGGACATCAGTTGAAGATAAATGCCAAAAGAGCTAAAGGTGACATGACGAAATGATTTTTTTTATGCAGTGAGTGATTAAGATCTGAGCCGAAGAGTGAACTGTGCTGTCTCAGGGTGTCATGGAGGCTGATTCAATCATGGCTTTTGGAAGGGAATTGGATAGCTATCTGAAGAGAAACATTTGTACCATTAAGGAGGAAAGGGCAGGGCAGTGAAACTTGCTGAGTTACACTTGTCAGAGTCAGCATGGACACAACAGGCTGAATAGCCTTTTTTTGTGCAGTAATCATTCCATAATTCTATGTTCCTTAATACTGATCCTTGGAATTCTTTCAAAGAGCCAATACAGACAAGAAGGATCAAATTGCCTGTTTCTGAGCATGTATGATTGCATGAAAGTGCCTCCTCTGCTCCACCAAATAATGGCCATCCTTTGCTCACTATTGAAGTGAGCATTAGAGATAGTAGGAACTGCAGATGCTGGAGAATCTGAGATA